ATTTTAAATATACTAACCTCACTCCTTTTTAACAACTAAGGCAAAAATGTAATTAATTCAGAAAATCTTTTCAGGACCCCACCTTGATGTTTCAGGACCCCACCTTGATGTTTCAGGACCCCACTTTGGGTCCCGACCCCAACTTTGGGAAACACTGCTCTACATGACCCTAAATCCAGAATTGCTGCGCTCAAGGTGGCAGCATGGTGGAGTAGCTCTGTTACATTCATTCTGAGATTTTTTTATTCCTATTTTTCTCAATAAAAATGTTTTTTTTTATTGTTCTGCTATTAGATGTTGTGCAGCTGGAAGGAATTTTGCTAACACCTATTTTGTTTTTGGACATTTGTTATTATGCGTAATCATAGCAACATGGTGGTTTGTTAGCAGCTGATTAACATCTCAAAAGCTCAAAGAATAACTCAACTACAGCCTCAACTACAGTCCCAAATCCCAGATGAGTTGAAAAGGAGGCACCGTGGATGCAGAGCAGGAGCAAAGAGGAGAGAGAGAGGAGGAAGTTCAAACCATCTCTTCCATCGATCATGATGGTCAATGAGAGATTGTTGGGGAACATGTTGGACAAACTCCAAGCCCTAAAATGAACCCATCCAGAGCTTTCTGATCACACGATGGGCAACCCTGAGCACCCTCTTCATAAGACTGCAGTACTACAACAGTGTGTTCAGTCAAGGCTTCTTCAGACCCGCTGTATGACAGACCACTACAGGAGATCCTTCCTGCCCACAGCCTTCATCATCTTAACAACTCTTTAAAGAAACCAGGATAATATGAGTTTCAACAATATTTAATTTTCCATTTGGGATTAATAAAGTATTATTGACTTGAATTGAAATCTAGCCTAAAGTCAATTCACATCTTAGTCCTAAACCTAACGCCCTACCCAAAATCAGCATCCGTACCCTTGGAGACCAGACTTTGGTCCCCACAAGGCTGGGTTTGTCTGGAAAATGGTCCACATGGTGAAGCAAATACACACCCACACAGCCTAACAAACAGAACAACTGGTCTTATTTACCAGAAAGATGACCAGACATCAGCCCCCAAACTGTCTTATTAAAAACAAATTCTGCTCTGGAACATTTTATTAAAACCCTTATTTAAACAAAACAACTGACATCCTATTGGTTGAAAACACTTTAATTTTACTGTCAAATCTTAGAAACACCATTCAAAGCTATTAAATATTAAATTAGTTACTACAATTAAGGTAACACCTTGAAAAAAATGCATGTAGCCCGCTGCCTTACAAGGAAAATCCAATTTAAGTTGTAACCACTTTTGTGTTAGATAAGGTTTGTTGTGGCAGCCATCTTGAATTGGACTGACTCCAAAAGATAATCAGCTGTACATGAGCATCCAGTACTTTCTGAGAGTTTTATTAAAATTTGTCAGGGCCATCTTTTGTTAAGAGTCAGTCAGTCAGACAAACACATGCTCACATAAAGACATTTACAGAATCACCCACCACATCATAAGAGGCCAGCAAATAAGCAAATCCTGTTTCTTAGGTTTTCTGTGTCATGCCACATTTATACAAATTCAATATAAAGTATTTTGCAAAATAGAGTGTTTGAGAGTTGGTACACGTTTTCCACAAACTTATTTATTAAATACTGCATATGATGCAGTCATGTCATTTTGGACTTGCTGTCATTTATCAAAGAGAACCAGAAGGCTCACTTAGAGGTCAAGTGAAAACAAGTGAATTGTTTTGTTGTCCGTTTCTCTAACACAGGGGTCTGCAACCTGCGGCTCTGGGGCCACATGTGGCTCTTTGGACCCTCTGCAGTGGCTCTTTGAAAATGTGACCAAACATAACAGAATATACATTGTTTTTTTTATACTCACAACAGAAATCAATTTGTATGCAAATACGTGATCAATACTAATACAAAAAGATAAAAACATGTTAGCTCATGTTAGCGTGTTGTTTACTTAAATAATCCAACTTCTTTCTATGATGTTTCTTTCAAATCCATTAGAATTACCTTAAAAGAAATTTAAGACTACATAATAATAAGAATTAGAAAAAATATATACCTGAATGGTTCAGCTGAACTAGTTTTTATGAAATTCAGTATTAAAGGCACAGTGTGTAGGATTTGTTGTTTTCATTGACATCTAGTGGTGATAAGGTTGAATCATCCTCCCTGGTCCCCCCCCCACC